GGGAGACAGGACAATATATACATGAGGTAAGTGGGCACAGGTGGAAACAATCAGGGGCGGGGCAGACACTGATGATGGCGGGAAAAGGAACCAGAGCAGGAAGTAAAGGCACCTGGAATGAGACAAGGTGAGTACAAAATAAAACAGGAAGTGGAACATAAACTAAACTAACATGACAAAACATAACATAATTGACGGGACACAACAAACTTCTGCCGCAATGGAGAGTCAGGACTCAGAGAGACACGAGGAGAGTTGGAGTTTTGATGTCAAACACTGGTAGTTTATTTAGAGAGAATACGGCCGGAGAGATTACAAAGTTTATCACACTTTCATGTGAGTCACTCCGCAACACTCTGAAGACAAAGGATAGAAATATAGATAGATATATCCTTGAAGTAGGGGCTAAAAAACCCGCCTTTCTCCTAATCATTACCAGACATTGGAACCAAAGGCCCCTTTGTATTGCAACTCCTCATGTGCCCAAACTTCTCCCCCACAGGAAGACAGATGACCTCTTGACCTGTGTCCCTCTCTACACAGGAACAGGCAGGAGTATAATCAGATTTAACAAAAAGCATATCTTTGTGATTTAACAGTTTCACAGAAAGACTGAGAACCTGTAAATACACAGATCGGATTAAAATATTCTCTCACATTACCTTTGACCTTTGTTAATGTAGTTTAATTGTAGGATGTTTGGAAAGGATGAGAAGGTATTCTGTCTGCGCTTGTTTGTGTTTGTTTTGGAGACGTGTGATCTGTTAAACTGTGATCGACTAGATGGCCTTGATCTGGGAGACGGAGATCGATTGCTCTTGTCTCCGCCCACATATCTGGGGGATTTCGCGGTACTTTCCTCACTCGAGTAAAGTACCGGAGAATGAAACCTAACTTTGACTCTTGTCAAAATTCTTCCCTTTTATCAGGGGCGTAACACATGTAATTTACTTGAGCCCGCTACTCATTATCATTTTCTAATAATCATTTGGTTTTATGAATACATTATTTATACTACCACACAGACCTTTAAATGTTGGGGGAAGGGAACACAAGCCTGTGTTTTACACGCCTTTTAAAAGTGTGACAGGAAATAAAATAAAGATGCTTTTTTTTTAATGAATAGGACGTTTTTAATTTTCATCTAAAAATAGATAGCCTATACTAAGTAATATACTCTTTCTGTTCTATCCTGCAGCTCCTGTACCCATCAACCATCCATTCCATACCATTCACATACAACCATCAACACATACTGATTTACACCACACTATTTAAACCAACGGCACTTTTAAGAGCCACATATATATCTGTCTTTCTCTTATATCTATATCAATTTCAATCTTTATCTTTTTCTGTATCTATCCATCTCTCATTCTCACTACCTCTTACTCTCCTTCAGCGTCTGTTTGCATATCTGTTGTACCTGTCCGTCTGTATCTGTCTATGGTGCAATGGCAACAAAACTGTCAAGGAGAGACTCTGAGGCATGAACTCAATTGCACGACACAGATAGTGTTCTCAAAAAATAAAGACTTTACTGGAATTTGCACAGTAATCAAAACAAGGAAAACAAATATACTCTTTCGAGGAAAACTAGCAAGTGATCAATGAGGTAGATCCGTGGGAAGTCCGTGAGGTAATCAGGAACGTGGGTCATAGTAAGACAACGAACTGACAATGAACAGGAGGAAGCTACCACAATATATACACAGGTAAAGGGGACACAGGTGGAAACAATCAGGGCGGGGAAAACAATCAAGGACGCAGGAGACAGAAGGGGGCGGGGAGCGTGGAGGCCTGAAATGAGAGGGATGATTAATTAAGGGAATAAACATAAAGCACAGGGCAAAGGGACATGACAAAACTAACATAAAGAATACACTTTCACTATTAGTTTCCTAGACATGACAAAAACACAACCTGGACCGCAATGATCCCAACTACCAAGAGGTAGTGGCTCTTGAGATGAAGCATGACATCATGCTAGATGAAGCCAAGGTTGGAGTTTTAACCCATAAGAACCCGGACCCATTTCTACTTTTGGGAAAATTAAGGGGAACATCATTTAGACTAAATAGACCACCACACATTTCTGACAAGAACCCCCCCCTTGTCTCAAATATCTGAAATGTGACATATATGTCACATTGGGCTTTAATGGTAAAATAACTCTTATATATAACTTCATTAATGAGCATGATTTTTTGGTTTGAATTAGTTTGAACATTCTTTGAATTGAAGAATAAGAACATATCAACTCAATATAATTGAATCAGCTAAATTAACTGAGCAGATCATAATAATATTTCTAATTGTGCATATATGTCACTTTGGGTTTACTGTGAAAGTTTAGGGTTAAAGTCCCAATGTGACACCAGTGTCACAGCAATGTTTGTCTCATTTGTTTCATATCAATTTGATCAAGAAATGTTTCCACAACAGGTTAAATGTAATAAAGGACATGTTATGTAAGCATTTTAATTCTTAAATGGCTTGAATTTTACCTTTTTAGCAACAAAAAAAAAGCTTTTCAAATGTAGCTTGTTATGTCACATGTCATGTGTTAGTCTGGCACATGGACATCATGGACATGTTGTCATGGGAACACAAAATGACATGTCCTGGATCATGACCAACCAGACTGTTCAGTGTGTGTCACTTAGGGACTTCATGAGAAAAAAACAAGGCTAAAGCTGTACAAGGAACTTTCCAGAACATTTAAAGGTCATGTGACACCTGTGTGACGGTGGGTCCTCATGGGTTTAATATCCATCATTGAACTTCAACATACTGTTTAGTTTAGAAGATTCCAAACAGCTCTTTTGCCTCACCACATCTCGACCCAGTTGAAACTTATTAAAGAGGTTGGACTCTCCTGCACCATCACAATACCAAAAGAGGACGTTTTGGGGGGGAAATAAAGCTCCTTCTCTCCACAAGAGTTGCAGAGTTTCAGAGTATCAATTGAAAGGCTTTTAAAGCTGATGAACACCTAACATACACAGCATGTTGGGATTTATTTTAATGTGTCATCTGTCTTTTGGTTTCAGTATATTTAACCAAAGAGAGATGATTTTTCACTCTAACAAAGGGAGCAGCTGAGGAGAGGAAAAGATCACGCTCTGGAGGGGACACTCCAGAGACCCCTTAGAGGGGACGTAGCAAGCCAAGGGGGAGACGTGGAGGGCGCCATCAAGCCTCACCTACAGGTGGATATCTGAATAATTTGAGATTTATTTTATTTTACTGAGTAAATGTTGGAGCAATTAGAACAGGTCATTAACACAGTCATTATGTTCTGAGGGTGCGGGTTAGTTCCAGCACATAATCACATATAGAAATGTAGAACATCTTTCAGTGGCACTGTAATAGAAGACATTAAAGACTATTTGTCAGGAATATGTTTCAATAGATTTCATAAATTGTTAACCTGTATGTAGCTTGACATTTTTTTAAGGAAAAAACATCTGTAACCTGTTCTTAATGTTCTATGTGCTGTTTTAGAGTCACAAACCCTGCGACTGAGGGTGGCTTTCAGTCATCCTGTGAGGAGGTTCCAGTTACTGGACCGTTAGCACAACTCAATCCCAAGAGGAATTTGGTAAATCACAATCCCTTATATACAACCGTAAGGTTGTAATTGACCATATACACAACTGGCAGTATAGCAAATTGTTTAAGAACATAATTTAGTAAAGACAGACTGAATTACTGTTAAACCTAACATGTCTACAGTCTACTCCGGTACACTAACGTCCATTAGAAAGAACAATTTATACATTCAAAGCCATACAAAATATAACTTGAATTATGACTTTGTCCAGAAGCTGCATTTAAATACCACATAGGATTTTAATTTCCATGACGACTGATACTGTTACTAATTTTACTGTTACTTCTCACATCTCCTGGTACAGTGAGGTATTTCATAAATAATTGCATTTAGTTTGTGAATTACTCCTCCCTCAGCTATGGAAGGAAGGACAGAGCATTAGTGACAGACGCTACTTCCAAAATATGGAGTCATTTAAATACATAAAAGCAAAAGTTATTTACTGAACATGTTTGCACTGCAGTATTTATCACAGAAGACATAGGAACAAAATAAAATAATTTTGCATAGGATTGTGATACTCCACTGAGATATTCTTGGTTTTGTAAATATTTCAGCTGGTCTCATGTTACAATAAGGACAAGGATGAGGACTCAAATGCACAACCCGGGAGCCAGAGGTAAAGTATAATTAATATACTTTATTTTGCACAAAAAAAAGGTATACAAAAGACTGAATTATTGTGTTTAATTAGCAAAACACACAAATATACAAACATTTATACAAAACTATGAAGCTTCACGACAAGCTTTATGATCAGCATATTTTGAAAACACAGGAATTGCATGCTATAGAACTTTATTTGTGTTGATGCAGCAGTACCAGTATGAAGTAGAAAAAAGAAAAAAAACAGCCAATAAAATATATATTATAAATAAATATTGTGTTTATCTTGTGTTTATCTAACATATATATATATTAAAGATAAACAAAATATTTATTTCAGATGAATTTAAATCTGAATCCGTCTCAAAGTATCTTAAGTTATCAAATAAATGCAGGGACATAACAAGTACAATATTTCCCTCTAAAATGTAGTGGGGTACAAAATAACAGGAAATGGAAATAGTCAAGTAAAGTACATCTGAGAGATAACGAGGGATTGCATTGCCTGTGTGCAAGTTTCTAATCCTGACAAACTGCGTAGCTCATAGAGAATATCGTCAGGAGGAGCCAGTTGATATGGGTTATTTTGTCTCCAAACACTCTCTGCCTCTGAAGAAAACATCTATCAATTCTGGCATTGAAGTCCTTGTATACTTTTTATATCATAATGTTCTTAACTTTGAACATACACTGGTCCAGAGCAGAGTAGGTTTGCAGCATTACCATGGTGATCCCAGTAGTGGGGGCTGTAGTTGTTGGGGCCACAGTTGTGAGAACTTCAGCAGTAGGGGCTGTAGTTGTGGGGGCTGTAGTTGTTGGGGCCACAGTTGTCAGAACCACAGTAGTAGGGGCTGAAGTTGTAGGACCTGTACTTGTGGGAGCAGCTGTTGTAGGGGCTAAAATAGTGGGGCCTGCAGTTGTCGGGGCTGCAGTGGTCGGAACTACAGTAGTGGGGGCTGCTGTTGTCGTGGTTGCAGTTGCAGGACCTGTAGTTGTGGGAGCAGCTGTTGTAGAGGTTGTGGTTGTTTGGAATGCAGTTGTTGGGGCTACAGTTGTAGGACCTCTAGTTGTGGGAGCAGCTGTTGAAGGGGCTACAGTAGTGGGGGCCACAGTTGTGGGGGCCACAGTTGTAGGACCCGTAGTTGTGGGAGAAGCTGTTGTAGGGACTGCAGTTGTTAGTGCTTTAATTGTAGGAGCTTGAGTTGTTGCTCCAGAAGTTGTTATGGCTGCGGTTGTAGGACCTGAAGTTGTGGGAGAAGCTGTTGTGGGAGCTTGAGTTGTCGCTCCAGCAGTTGTCGTGGCTGCAGTTGTTGGGGCTACAGTTGTAGGACCTGTAGTTGTGGTAGAAGCTGTTGTAGGGGCTAAAGTAGTGGGGGCTGCAGTTGTAGGATCTGTAGTTGTAGGAGAAACTGTTGTAGGGGATACAGTAGTGGGGGCTGCAGTTGTGGGGGCTGCAGTTGCTGGAGAAGCTGTTGTGGGAGCTTGATTTGTCGCCCCAGCAGTTGTCGTGGCTGCGGTTGTTTGGGCTGAAGTTGTGGGGGCTGCAGTTGTCTGAGCTACAGTTCTTGGGGCTGCATTTGTGGGGGCTGTAGTTGTTGGAGCTACAGTTGTACGACCTGTAGTTGTGGGAGAAGCTGTCGTAGGGCCTACAGTTGTTGGGGCTGCTGTCGTGGGAGCTTGAGTTGTCACTCCAGCAGTTGTCGTGGCTGCAGTTGTAGGACCCGTAGTTGTGGGGGAAGCTGTTGTAGGGGCTGCAGTTGTTAGTGCTGCAGTGGTAGGAGCTTGAGTTGTTGCTCCAGCAGTTGATGTTGCTGCAGTTGTTGGGGCTTCAGCTGTAGGACCTGCAGTTGTGGGAGCAGCTTTTGTAGGGGCTAAAGTAGTGGGGGCTGCAGTTGTATGACCTTTAGTTATGGGAGCAGCTGTTGTAGGGACTAAAGTAGTGTTGGCTCTAGTTGTGGGGGCTGCAGTTGTTGGGGCTACAGTTGTTGGAATTACAGTAGTGGGGGTTGCAGTTGTCGTGATTGCAGTTGCATGACCTGTAGTTGTGGGAGCAGCTGTTTTGGGAGTTTGAGTTGTCGCTCCAGCAGTTGTTGTAGCTGCGGTTGTTGGGGCTGAAGTTGTTGGGGCTGCAGTTGTCAGGGCTTCAGTTGTGGGAGCTTGAGTTGTGGGGCCAGCTGTTGTAGGGGCTGCAGTTGTCGCGGCTGCAGTTGTTGGGGCCACAGTTGTAGGACCTGTAGTTGTGGGAGGAGCTGTTGTAGGGGCGACAGTAGTGGGGGCAGCAGTTGTTGTAACTATAGTAGTGGGGGCTGTAGTTGTTGGGGCCACAGTTGTCAGAACTACAGTAGTAGGGGCTGCAGTTGTAGGGGCTGAAGTTGTAGCTCCTGTAGTTGTGGGAGAAGCTGTTGTAGGGGCCAAAGTAGATGGGCCTGCAGTTGTTGGGGCTGCAGTTGTGGGGGCTGCAGTTGTTGTGGCCACAGTGGTTGGAACTACAGTAGTGGGGGCTGCAGTTGTCATGGTGGCAGTTGCGGGACCTGTAGTTGTGGGAGCAGCTGTTGTAGGGGCTGTGGTTGTTGGGGCTGCAGTTGTTGGGGCTGCAGTTGTTGGGGCTACAGTAGTGGGGAGTGCAGATGTCGGAACTACAGTAGTGGGGGCTTTAGTTATGGGGGTTGCAGTTGTAGGGGCCAGAGTTGTCTTTTTAGGGGCTAAAGTAGTGGGGGCTGCAGTTGTAGGATCTGAAGTTGTGGGAGCTTGAGTTGTCACTACAGCAGTTGTCGTGGCTGCAGTTGTTGGGGATACAGTTGTAGGACCTGTAGTTGTGGGAGCATCTGTTGTAGGGGCTGCAGTTGTTGGGGCTACAGTTGTAGGACCCACAGTAGTTGGGGCTGCAGTTATCGTAACTACAGTAGTGGGGGCTGTAGTTCTGGGGGCTGTAGTTGTTGGGGCCACAGTTGTCGGAACTACAGTAGTAGGGGCTGTAGTTGTGGGAGCTTGAGTTGTTGCTCCAGCAGTTTTCGTGGCTGAAGTTGTAGGGACTGAAGTTGTAGGACCTGTAGTTTTGGGAGCATCTGTTGTAGGGGCTAAAGTAGTGGGGCCTGCAGTTGTTTGGGCTGCAGTTGTGGGGTCTGTGGTTGTTGGGGCCACAGTTGTCGGAATTACAGTAGTGGGGGCTGCAGTTGTCATGGTGCAGTTGCAGGACCTGTAGTTTTGGGACCATCTGTTGTAGGGGCTGCGGTTGTTGGGGCTGCAGTTGTTGTGTCTGAAGTTGTGGGAGCTTGAGTTGTGACTACAGCAGTTGTCGTGGCGGCAGTTGTTGGGGATACAGTTGTAGGACCTGTAGTTGTGGGAGCATCTGTTGTAGGGGCTGCAGTTGTTAGTGCTGCAGTTGTAGGAGCTTGAGTTGTCGCTCCAGCAGTTGTCGTGGCTGCAGTTGTTGGGGCTACAGTTGTAGGACCCACAGTAGTTGGGGCTGCAGTTATCGTAACTACAGTAGTGGGGGCTGTAGATCTGGGGGCTGTAGTTATTGGGGCCACAGTTGTCAGAACCACAGTAGTAGTGGCTGTAGTTGTGGGAGCTTGAGTTGTTGCTCCAGCAGTTTTCGTGGCTGTAGTTGTAGGGACTGAAGTTGTAGGACCTGTAGTTTTGGGAGAATCTGTTGTAGGGGCTAAAGTACTGGGGCCTGCAGTTGTTTGGGCTGCAGTTGTTGGGTCTGCGGTTGTTGGGGCCACAGTTGTCGGAATTACAGTAGTGGGGGCTTCAGTTGTCATGGTTGCAGTTGCAGGACCTTTGGTTGTGGGAGAGGCTGTTGTAGAGGCTGCAGTTGTTGGGGCTGCTGTTGTGGGAGATTGAGTTGTCGCTCCAGCAGTTGTAGGACCCGTAGTTGTGGGGGAAGCTATTGTAGGGGCTGCAGTTGTTATTGCTGCAGTTGTTGGTGCTTGAGTTGTGGGAGCAGCTGTTATTGGGGCTAAAGTAGTGGGGGATGCAGTTGCAGGACCTGTAGTTTTGAGATCAGCTGTTGTAGAGGCTGCGGTTGTTGCGGCTGCAGTTGTTGGGTCTGAAGTTGTGGGAGCTTGAGTTGTGACTACAGCAGTTGTCGTGGCTGCAGTGGTTGGGGATACAGTTGTAGGACCTGTAGTTGTGGGAGCATCTGTTGTAGGGGCTGCAGTTGTTAGTGCTGCAGTTGTAGGAGCTTGAGTTGTCGCTCCAGCAGTTGTCGTGGCTGCAGTTGTTGGGGCTACAGTTGTAGGACCCACAGTAGTTGGGGCTGCAGTTATCGTAACTACAGTAGTGGGGGCTGTAGTTCTGGGGGCTGTAGTTGTTGGGGCCACAGTTGTCGGAACTACAGTAGTAGGGGCTGTAGTTGTGGGAGCTTGAGTTGTTGCTCCAGCAGTTTTCGTGGCTGTAGTTGTAGGGACTGAAGTTGTAGGACCTGTAGTTTTGGGAGCATCTGTTGTAGGGGCTAGAGTAGTGGGGCCTGCAGTTGTTTGGGCTGCAGTTGTGGGGTCTGCGGTTGTTGGGGCCACAGTTGTCGGAATTACAGTAGTGGGGGCTGCAGTTATCATGGTTGCAGTTGCAGGACCTGTAGTTTGGGACCAGCTGTTGTAGGGGCTGCGGTTGTTGGGGCTACAGTTGTTGGGTCTGCAGTTGTGGGGGCTTGAGTTGTCGCTCTAGCAGTTGTCATGGCTGAAGTTGTAGGGGCTGAAGTTGTAGGACCTGCAGTTGTGGGGTCTGCAGTTGTTGGGGTAACAGTTGTCGGAACAACATTAGTGGGGGCTGCAGTTGTCATGGTTGCAGTTGCAGGACCTGTAGTTGTGGGAGAAGCTGTTGTAGGGGCTACGGTTGTTGGGGCTGCAGTTGTTGGATCTGCAGTTGTGGGGGCTGCAGTTGTTGGAGCAACAGTTGTAGGACCTGTAGTTTTGGGAGTAGCTGTTGTAGGGGCTACAGTAGTGGGGGACACAGTTGTGGGGGCCACAGTTGTAGGACCTGTGGTTGTGAGAGAGGCTGTTGTAGGGGCTGCAGTTGTTGGGGCTGCTGTTGTGGGAGTTTGAGTTGTCGCTCCAGCAGTTGTTGTGGCTGCAGTTGCAGGACCCGTAGTTGTGGGAGAAGTTGTCGTAGGGGCTGCAGTTGTTAGTGCTGCAGTTGTAGGATCTCGAGTTGTTGCTCCAGAAGTTGTTGGACCTGTAGTTGTGGGAGAAGCTGTTGTGGGAGCTTGAGTTTTCGCCACAGTAGTTGTCTTGGTTGCGGTTATTTGGGCTGAAGTTGTAGGACCTGTAGTTGTGGGAGTAGCTGTTGTAGGGGCTAAAGTAGTGGGGCCTGCAGTTATCGGGGCTGTAGTTGTGCGGGCTGCAGTTGTGCGGGCTGCAGTTGTTGGGGCCACAGTTGTCGGAACTATAGCAGTGAGGGCTGCAGTTGTCATGGTTGCAGTTGCAGGACCTGTAGTTGTGGGAGCAGCTGTTGTAGGGGCTGCAGTTGTGGGGTCTGCAGTTGTTGGGGCTACCGTTGTAGGACCTTTGGTTGTGGGAGAGGCTGTTGTAGAGGCTGCAGTTGTTGGGGCTGCTGTTGTGGGAGCTTGAGTTGTTGCTCCAGCAGTTGTAGGACCCGTAGTTGTGGCGGAAGCGGTTGTAGGGGCTGCAGTTGTTATTGCTGCAGTTGTTGGTGCTTGAGTTGTGGGAGCAGCTGTTATTGGGGCTAAAGTAGTAGGGGCTGCAGTTGCAGGACCTGTAGTTTTGGGACCAGCTGTTGTAGGGGCTGCGGTTGTTGGGGCTGCAGTTGTTGGGTCTGAAGTTGTGGGAGCTTGAGTTGTGACTACAGCAGTTGTCGTGGCTGCAGTTGTTGGGGATACAGTTGTAGGACCTGTAGTTGTGGGAGCATCTGTTGTAGGGGCTGCAGTTGTTAGTGCTGCAGTTGTAGGAGCTTGAGTTGTCGCTCCAGCAGTTGTCGTGGCTGCAGTTGTTGGGGCTACAGTTGTAGGACCCACAGTAGTTGGGGCTGCAGTTATCGTAACTACAGTAGTGGGGGCTGTAGTTCTGGGGGCTGTAGTTGTTGGGGCCACAGTTGTCAGAACCACAGTAGTAGTGGCTGTAGTTGTGGGAGCTTGAGTTGTTGCTCCAGCAGTTTTCGTGGCTGTAGTTGTAGGGACTGAAGTTGTAGGACCTGTAGTTTTGGGAGAATCTGTTGTAGGGGCTAAAGTAGTGGGGGCTGCAGTTGTAGGACCTGTAGTTTTGGGAACAGCTGTTGTAAGGACTACAGTAGTGGGGGCTGCAGTTGTTGGAGCTGCAGATGTTGGGGCCACAGTTGTCAGAACTACAGTAGTAGGGGATCTAGTTGTGGGGGCTGCAGTTGTGGCGGCCACAGTTGTCGGAACTACAGTAGTGGGGGCTGCAGTTGTCGTGGTTGCAGTTGCAGGACCTGTAGTTGTCGGAACAGCTGTTGTAGGGGCTGTGGTTGTTGGGGCTGTAGTTGTTGGGGCCACAGTTATAGTTGCCGCAGTTGAAGGAGGTGCAGTGGTCAGTGTGACAGTAGTTAAAGCTGCAGTTGTAGTTGTCGCTTCTGCTGTTGTCACGGCTGCAGTTGTATGGGTCGCCGTTGTAGGACCAGTAGTTGTGGGAGCAGCAGTTGTAGAAGCTACAGTTGTAGAAGCTACAGTTGTTGAGGCTACAGTTGTAGGGCCTGTAGTTGTGGGAGCAGCTGTTGTAGGGAATGCAGTTGTTGGGGCCACAGTTGTCGATATTACATTAGTGGGGGCTACGGTTGTTGGGGCTGCAGTTGTTGGATCTGCAGTTGTGGGGGCTGCAGTTGTTGGAGCAACAGTTGTAGGACCTGTAGTTTTGGGAGTAGCTGTTGTAGGGGCTACAGTAGTGGGGGATACAGTTGTGGGGGCCACAGTTGTAGGACCTGTGGTTGTGAGAGAGGCTGTTGTAGGGGCTGCAGTTGTTGGGGCTGCTGTTGTGGGAGTTTGAGTTGTCGCTCCAGCAGTTGTTGTGGCTGCAGTTGCAGGACCCGTAGTTGTGGGAGAAGTTGTCGTAGGGGCTGCAGT